GGCCATGCTGGCATGGCACACTTTAGAAAGATCTGCCTCCATGCTCCCAGGGCGGGTTCCTGCCTCAAACCCCGCCCTTACAGGAAACAACTCCAGGAAACAGCTTGTGGGAGGGTGCAGCCTGTGCCAAGACAACCCCTGTAGGACTGACTTCCTTACGCTTAGTCAGGGCTGTTCATCTGCATGTGATGAACACCACCCATGGTTTTTATATAAGTAGATTATAAAGCAAATTCTTTGGCTCTAATGTTTCTATTTGAAAAGGGAGGATGAGTTCAGGGTTTCTTTTGGGGGTGACGATATGTTTGGCAATTAGAGAGTGGTGATGGTTGCACAAACCTGTGAATGTGGTTTGTTTTTTTTTTAACAAAAACAACCACCACCAGGAATTGGATGCTTCAAAAGTGTGAATTTTATGGTATGTGAATTATATCTCAAAAAAGTACTCAGCAGAGAATTTCAAGGATTATTCTTTTGTTATTATTTTTAATGACACAATAGACTCTGGTTTATTTAAAGCTACTGACAGGCATCTTACATGGGCTGCTACATTTAAGAATAAATAAATATATTTGTATACTCCACTCCCCCTCCAAAAAAAAAGTGGAGAGGACAGCAGAATGAACAGCTATCCTTGGAATTAGTTGGCAGTACTATTCTAAACTGGTCCAATTTTTCCATAATACTCTCTGGCTTCCACAATATCCTCACATCTGGCAAGATAAGTGATTTTGAAAAAAGCTTTGTATACACCCTATATTAAATTCTGCTTATTAAGGCTTTAAGAATTAAATAGGTATCTCATTAATTTCTTCTTTTGTATTTAAACACTGTTTTATTCACATTCTTGTGTGGTGAGCATAATCATTCAGTGAAAAAACACTGTTCTCAACTTCTCATGCAAGTAGAATTCTCAAAAACATCTTGGATGCATGTGTCTTTAACCACTCTTTTAAATGCCTTAAAGTCTGGCAATCACCTTCATTCACTATAATAACACTGTTCTCATCTTCTCCCACAAGTAGCATTCTTAGAAATATCTTACATATGTCTTTAAACAATTTTATATGCATTATAGCATGGTGATCACATCCATTCACTGAAATAAGGCTGTTCTTTACTTCACTTGCAAGTAGCATTCTCAGAAACATCTTATACACGTGTCTTTTTTTCCCTGAAGGTGAAGACCTCTATTTTTTTAAATAAAAACTGTATATATTTAATATGTATGACATGATGATATGATATATATACATAGTGAAATAACAACTAGTCAGGCTAATTAACATATTATCTCCTCACACAGCTACCATTTGTTTGTGTGTGGTAAGAGCACCTAAAATCTACTCCTAGCAAATTTCAAGTGTTCAATACAGTATTATTAACTACTAGAGGCCCAGTGCACAAAATTTGTGCATGGACGGGGGGGGGTGGTCCCCTCAGCCCAGCCTGCACCCTCTCCAATCCAGGACCCCTCAGGGGATGTCCAACTGTCAGACATCCCTCTCACAATCCTGGACCGCTGGCTTCTAATCGCACACCTGCCTGCCTGCTTGGTTGCCCCTCACTGTTCCCTCTGCCAGCCTGGTTGCCCCTCACTGCTCCCCCTGCCAGCCTAATCACCCCCAACTGCCCCCCCTGCTGGCCTGATCACCCCACACAGCCTGCTTGTTCAGTCGTTTGGTCATCCCTCACTAACCCCCCAGCCACCCTGGTCATAGGCAGTCATCTTATGAGGGCGTGGGGGTTAATTTGCGTATTACCTCTTTATTATATAGGATAGTCATCATGTAGTACATTAGATTTCTAGATTTATTCATCCTAACTGCAATAATACATTTCTATCAATTTCTACCACATCATTCTGTGGAGAAGAAAGGAAGCAGTGATAAGCAGATAATGAATCACAAGAATAAAAACCTGCTTTCCACTGTTTCCTTGTTTTTATTTCTCTTTTTTCCCTCACTCCCATCCCCTAATCCTTCTAAAATTTAAAATAGTCTAACCACTAACACTTTACACATGTACCAAATTCAAAGAAGTTATTCATTACAGACTATTCTTACATCCCAATGACTTTGAAATTAATTTCTAGAATCTAAAATTAAAGTCTCTTTGCACCCAATTACAGCATTTGTATCACACCTGTCCCTGAATACACATTACAACTGAGCAAAAGAGCTACATGTAAAGATCTAATAGTGATGGAGGATATCATAGATATAACTAAAAAGGGAAAAAGCAGTTAAGGAAGCCACATTTGACATCACAAAATTCCAGGTTAACAAAAAAATGTTAGACTAAAAAGCTAGAGATTGTTTTTTCCAATCATATATAGCCCAGCCAGCATGGCTCAGTGGTTGAGCATCAACCTTATGAACCAGGAGGTCATGGTTCAATTCCTGGTTAGGGTACATGCCCGGTGGTGGGCTCCGTCCCCCGTGGGGAGCATGCAGGAGGCAGCCAATTGGTGATTCTCTCTCATCACTGATGTTTCTATCTCTTCTATCTCTCTCTCCCTCTCCCTTCCTCTCTGAAATCAGTAAAAATATATTTAAAAAATAATATATAAAAGTTTCTAAGTCTGTGGCATGCATTTTGAAAGAGGCATGCATTTGCCATAAGGCCTGGCAAATGTCATAAAAGCCTTCTAAGCATTAATTTCTGATATATCAAAAAAGAAAAGAGAAATTTCAAAATAGAAAATATCTGTACATTCTATATATGTTTTAAGGACAGAAGGTAGAGATTTTTTCTTGACAGACACTAATCAGTTAACCACAGATTCATGAAAAGATATTAGAACAAACAATCTGAGGCCACTTATGAGAAAAAGAGCCAATTTATTTTTTCAAAACTTTTTTTAAAGAGATATTTTTAATATATATTTTTATGGATTTCAGAGAGGAAGGGAGAGGGAGAGAGAGATAGAAGAGATAGAAACATCAGTGATGAGAGAGAATCACCAATTGGCTGCCTCCTGCATGCTCCCCACGGGGGACTGAGCCCACCACCGGGCATGTACCCTAACCAGGAATTGAACCATGACCTCCTGGTTCATAAGGTTGATGCTCAACCACTGAGCCACACCAGCTGGGCTAAGAGACAATTTTATTAGGTCAAATTTAACTTTCTAGGAAAACACAGAGAACTAATCAAGTAAAAGCCAAGAACTGAAATACCTGGGAGTCATATACTGAATTCAGCTAGTAATATGTTGTTGCTTTACAATACACACACCCTTGTAAGCATGATGCTAGTGTATACACAAAGGACTACACTATGCAAGGGCCAGGAAATAGAATAAAAAGTATCCAGTTTGGATAGTGGTCTTAATTCTCAAAAACAAAACAAAACAAAAAAACAGGTAGAAAAATCGATAGCAATAACCCTAGAAGGTAAGTTAGGAGGTCTGAATTCTCCAGTGATAGCTCTGACATTTAAGCAAATCTCTATAATAACTCTGGGCCTCAATTTCCTCACCTTTAAAATGAAGATGTACATGGTCTAAAATACCTTCCAAGTCTAAATGTAAATGAGAATAGGTTAAAATATTTTTCTCAAATAAAAAGAATACTGGGAAGATGTTATTTCTTTCTAAAAACCCCACTCCCACGTCCATTCCAAATGAACTAGAACAGGAAAGGAAGCATTTATAAAAAATAAAAAAAGCATCTTGACTGCTAAGGTCATAGATGCTGAAATGGAAATAGCATCAACAGGGACTTGTCATAGATAAGTGAACCCAAAAGTAATGGAGTAGACCATATTATCTTTTAAGGTGCCTTCCAGCAACATTTAAATTATATGTATTCTTAAGAGAAATACTGAAAATGGCTCCCATGTATTTGGTAAGAAGAGTCTATACATTTTACTTGTAAAGTTATGTGATAACTAGACATTTCAACATATGTACATAGAAACTTTTGGTTCATAGGGTTATTGGAATGTAAGAAATTACAATTTTTATTTTATAAAGAGAATAGTAAAAAAAAAAAAAAGAACTGCAACTGATTCCAAAGAACAACCTAATTCAAAGTCTGGGAGGCAAAACTAACAGCAAACTCATTTATCCTCTTAACATACCAAATTTGCCACTGAGTGCCACATTTAATAGGATGTCAATTTCTTCTGGAGCTAACCCATTCTTCCAAGCCACACTTTCCACAGTTTTCAAGTGTTTTTCCAAGGTTTTATCTTTACTCCGAGAAGTTTTAAAGGGACCTAGAAAAAGGAACCATATTAAATAGTGGGGCCTTTAAAATTCTTTCAGTCTGTAGCCTCAACAATTACAATTTGGGATACTTTAAAGCAGTGGTTCTCAACCTTCCTAATGCCGCGACCCTTTAATACAGTTCCTCATGTTGTGGTGACCCCCAATTTCATTGTTACAAATTGAACATAAGTAAAGCAGTGATTAATCACAAAAACAACATTTAATTATATATGTGTTTTCCAATCATCTTAGGCGACCCCTGTGAAAGGGTCATTCGACCCCCAAAGGGATTGCGACCCACAGGTTGAGAACCGCTGCTTTAAAGGAATAGCTTTATGCATAAAATATCTTCCTAAAAGTCCTTCAAAGCTTTTCAAACTCTAGAGTATTTTTTTTTGCAAGGCAAATATCTTTACTCCTGCAGGAGGATGTACACTCACATGGTATGGGAGCACATGCCCATTGAGCAGGTGTCTGCTAGGGCTTTTGTTCCTGTCCTTCACTCTTGATTGGAAGAGCTTAGGCACCCAGTCTTGCAAGATGGGCTAATTTAAAGGAAGGGGTTGACCTTTGCCGTTTCAAAATGGCAGCCTCCAGAGGAGCTGCAAGCCACTGAGCTAAAGTGGTGGCTGCCTAAACTCCCTTGACAGAAAAGATTACTTGTTTATTCTCACAAATCCCCCTTTTCTTATTTAACTCTTTTCTTCAAACTCAGCTAACATTCATTGATTTTCATGCTCTGCAGTGTCTAGAAGATTATTTTGCTGTTTGGTCAATGAGGTTTCAATTAACCTTTAGATAAGACCTCTCATACATGAGAGATAATATAACATCCCACCTCTGTCATTCCCTTCCATTCTCTGAACCATTGCTAAATTGGAGAAAGCATCCTCAATTTAAGAATTCTCAGCTAACTCAAAGCTGTCAATCCCTGTGGGGCCTCAGTGATGGTTCTGTTTGGCTGTGTTGTCAGAGATGAATGTATAACATTAACCCCCAAAATTACACATATTAATGCCAACCTATTCTCCCATGTCACCCTGCGGGTAGCATCTAGCTGTTCACTATCCCTTTAACTGCATCTTGAGGATAGTTAACAAGCCTTTGCTGGTTACAGTAAATATAACTAATCCAATCCACATTCTTGTTTAGAGTGGGCCACCAGAACAGGACAGATTCTAACCCTGCAGCAATCTGATCTGTGTGTACATGGGGATCAAAGAAGCCCTTGGACTCTCTCTCTTCTTCCTAGTCTGTCTGTCCATTGAAAAAGGTTTACGATATGCCAAAGTGGAAGGGATACCCAATTGTATCAGAGCGCAAGTTCCACTCCATTTGCTGGGCAAGGCCCAAGTCAGGGTCCCCCATAACACCACCAGACATCAGCACAGGGTATTGACAGTGCACCATGACTGGCTTCTGAGGATACTCAGCCATTTACACATCTGGATAAATTTCCCATAAACTCCAAGTACTGTTCCCCCCGACACCTTGAGAGGCAGGAGCTATAGTTTACATCGGAGAGTGGGAATCAGATTGTTTTGGGGACCCTTGCTCTTTACCTCAATAAGGAGAGAGTTTTACAGGAAGCGTTTCCCCAGGCGGTTTCCTCCTGACACAGGGCAAGCACACATTCCATCTGGTTACTGAGGTCCATCCGAATGAAAATGGGACCACTTGGGCCTCTAGCCTTCCTGCCACGCAAGCGTAACAGTCGCTTTTATTTAGGGAGCGTACAGAATATTTAATTCATTCCACCCAGGCATTCGCTCCCTTATATCTTACTTCTATTTGCATGGTGGTGGCAGTGGCCTAAGGGATCAAACTCTAGAATATTTAACAGCAACAGCACCTTCAGTAAGGAAAACTAAATCATGCCTTGGCATCTCTGCTCTAAACTAACTAAACGCACTGATTTTAGACTATAAGCTGTTCCAGTACTAGGGCATGATTCCCAAACTTTGAAATCATGTTAGGAGCCTTTAAAAAGTCCCAATGCCCAGGTTGCATCCCATACCAATAAAATCAAACTAAGAGTGGATGCCAGGCATCAGTGTGTTTTAAAGATTTTCGGGTGACTCCAATGTGCAGCAGTTTGGAAACCACTCTGCCAGGAATGTGCTTTGCTGTTGTATACTAGTACCTAGCATACCCATATGTAGTAAGAGCTCAATAAATGTCTATTAAGCTGAGAAAAACATTAATGAGCAAAAATATGCTCTCCTTTATAATTCCTCAACAAAGAAGTCTAGAATATTTTGATAGAAATAGGACTTTCATAAGGAAAACCATCTGTCTTACCTTTCTCAAAGTATCTTACTGCTATCTGCAGAGCATCTTCTGCTTGCTCATCAGCATCAGCTTGTTCAGAATCTTCCACTGGACTGTTTTGTCCATGTTTCGAGGTGCTCCTTGAGCTGCTTAGGTCCTCTTTCAGTTTCCAAGCCAAGAGATTAGTCTGATAACTATTACTATGTTGTGAAGTTCTTGGTGCCAGAGAGCTCTTAACTCTCTTTTGAGCTGACATTACTGCACATGTTCTATGCAGAAACAAGTGTCATTACCATTAACCAACCAAACTGTCCCTTTCTACTCCACAAAGACAAGACCCACATCTGAATGTATTCTAAACATTTAGTACATACTACCTAACATACAACAAGTATACCATAAAAAAACTGACAAAAATCTGGGCAACAAAACTTACAGGTTAGCTTTCTCAGAAAGTCCTTGACCTAAATAGGAACAGAGAGAAACAACTCTCCAAGTTAACACTGACCAGCTGAACTGGCCTTCCTGGAGGAAAATAAAAGAGTAAGAATACGGGTAACATAGCAATTTTCTTAAAATGGCTATATCACATAAGTGTGTCCAAAATTAAGCCATCTTATGAACTCAATCTTAATTTCTCCAATCACTCCTATTTTTCTCCACCTCTCCTTAATTTTACTTTTCATCTTTTATGCTCCCCACTTTATAGTGCTAAGTTAAAATTGCATAGTTCAAAAGTCAAACTGGTGTGCAAACTAAGGATTATCAGAACGGAAAAATTCCCCATTAATTAACTCACTTATTCAATAGGTAATTACTGAACATCATCTATATTCCAAGCACAGTTCTAGCTACCAGGGATAAGATCATATAATAGTCAAGGTCTCTGCTCTCATGAAACTTATGGGGGTGGTGGTGTGAGAGTCAATAAATAAGTATATACCTAATAGTGAACATAATATCACAGTGATGTGATAGAAATGAGGTGGAAGTGAGAAGCTACTTTGGAATAAGTGTTCACAGAAAGCCTCCCTGATTGACCTTTAAACGGACTTTTGAATGCCAGAAAGGAAACAGCTATGTGAAGATGTGCTGGAAGAGTATTTCATGGAAAAGCAAAACTAAGACTTGCTAAGTCCTTGAAGCAAGAGCTTTGTCTGTTAGGAAAACAGTAGCAATACCAGTTGGGAAGGGAGGGGTAGTGATATGAAAGAGGCAGAGGGTAGTGGGAGATGAGGTCAGAAAGGCAGCCAGGGACTACCATACTGGGACAGTGTATGCTAGAGTAAGGAGTTTGGATTTTTAAGTGGCAACTATCGGGTAGGGAGAAGTGTTAGAGAGGGGAATGATGCCATCTGATTTATGTTTTAAGGCCACTTTAGCTGCAGTGTGAAAAATAGAATGCTAGGGGTCAAGGAGTGGAAACAGGGCAATTAAAAGGGTCTTGCAGAAGTCCTGAAGAGATGTAACTGTAGCCTGAACTAGGTCTAATGTACAGCGGTGGAAAAGGTAGAAAATGATTGTGTTCGTGATAAGTGTTGGAGATAGGCTGGGCAAGATCATGATAAAATACTGGATGTAGGTAGAAGGGAAGAGAGGAACCCAGACTTCTGAAGTTTTGGCTTCAAATGACAAAAACTAAGGGAATGGTCGGAATGACACTCAATCCCACGTCCCTAGAGCAGATGAGACCAGAGCAGGAGAGCAATATGCGTGTCTAAACCTGTGGGAGAGTCCAAGTTCCGAGTTGTTTCCTATGTTCCTTTCAAAGAAAGGCAAGCGAACAGCTTCAGACCCCACCCGGTTGACCTATCCCATATCTTCCCAAGGCTTCCCCGGCGCCTCCCCACCCCCCACCGCCCGCTTCCCAGGCTCGGGGAAAACCCTACCCCAGCCACATCTTGCAGGATAGTCCTGCTCAGAAGTCAAGGAGCTTCTCTGATCTCGGAATCCCCCTTTCACGCGGTATTTAAAAGTCCCTTACCTAATACACTCTTCTGTCCCCGAACCTCCGGAGTTCAAACATCCCCTCCAGGATTCAAATGAGCGAGTCCCGCCTTGCGCACAGTCTTCCACGCAGACGCAGGCGGCGACCGGGCGGAGCGGCTGCGCTCTGCTGAAGTCTGATTGGTTGGGTTTCAGCTCTACCGCGCAAGGCGGCGCGCGCGCGCTGGGGCTGACGCTGACGCTGACGCTGACGCTGACGCTGACGCAGACCCAATTTGGGGCGTCGCTCGCCCCACCCACTAGGTCTCTGGTACTTGTGGTGAGTGGGCCGTTGCGGCTGGAGCAAACTGATTGGCCGGCGTTTCCGCTGTCCTAATAATGTTCACATTCTTTTATTTTGCGTAAAACAGATCAGCATCTGAATTCTTGAACTTAACAAGATTAATTATATCGATGGCTTTGCCCAGATTGACCCCAAACGTCGCGACTTGGCGGGAAAATATGAAACTGCAAAGTTTGCAGTAAAGACTGCCTCTCCTATGCTGGGCAAGAGACTTAGGTTAAAGGGTCTGTGACCTCTATAGCTATCATTTTCCCCATGTGAAACTAGGTGGTGGGAAGGATGGGGGTAGGGGGGGGCGGAATCTACCCTCCTTTAACCGAGGATGGGTACCCGTACCTTCCAGGGTTTGCTAAAAACGTGTCCTGGGCCAGATGTGGCACCTTGCACATAACCAGCCAAGTCTACACATAAAAATTCCTAACTTTGAGGAGTGATGGACCTTAAAGAAATTGGCTAAAATAGCAACAAAGGCTTAGTGTGAGACCTGAGCGTAGTCCCTAGTTTAATCTCTTACTAGACTAGGAATCAGAGAGGAAAGATATAAACTTAACAGCTCTCGCTGATTTTTTTGAAGCCAAAACATATCTATAAACTGTAGGTAAAACTGTAGAAGGAGCCGAAACCGGTTTGGCTCAGTGGATAGAGCGTCGGCCTGCGGACTGAAGGGTCCCAGGTTCGATTCCGGTCAAGGGCATGTACCTTGGTTGCAGGCACATTCCCAGTAGGGGGTGTGCAGGAGGCAGCTGGTCGATGTTTCTCTCTCATCGATGTTTCTGACTCTCTATCTCTCTCCCTTCCTCTCTGTAAAAAGTCAATAAAATATATATAAAAAAACTGTAGAAGGAAACTTGGCTATTTTAGGGAGACATGAAGAATCACAGGTTAAGTTGATGTATTTGGGAGATTACAGCAGAAATGACTGTTTATCACATTTTATATTTGTATGGTTTTTCAGAGCACTTTAATGAACTCATTTAATAATGCATGAGAAATGAGTGTTCAATATTTCCATGGTAGCTGTTCTTCCTTTTCTACTAAAACTGAACATTTCTCAAGAGTCATTTTAATCATTACATAGGTTCAGTTGTAAATTGAAAGGGCTTTTAAGCTTTCAATCCCCCTTCTTTTTTGTAGATGATGAAACTGGGGCCTTGAGAGAGGAAATAACTTGGTTAATGTGACAAGTCTGTGGCACTGGAACTTGTGCCACTTCGTGGACACATGTAGTGAGAGAAACTGGTTCATCTTTATTTAATATACCTGCAATTTTCTCTGAAATCATTCTTCTACTTTCCCCTGACATCACCTAATGAAGCAGAATTCCCCAAATCTGGAAATTTCATTGAGATCCTAATTTTATAGCTTTCGATCACAGAGGTGTGGAGGAACCTAAATGAGATTGGAAAATTGGTAATCTTAATATATTAAGTGACTATACATCCCCTTCTCTTTCTTCTCCTTTATCCAGACAAAAAAAGAGCCCAAATCCCTTGATATTACCCTTACTTTCCAGATTTTCAATATTTGTCCCAACAATTTCCTCCAAATTTCAATTTTTTTATTTTGAAAGAATGAGAGAAATAAGACAGAGAGGTATCAATTAATAAGAACAATGATATTGAAGAAATACAATAATTTACTCCACACACACAAAACACCCCCACCCCTTTTCCCATCCCTGGCACAATAATATCAAAACCATCAAAGCACATCTAACAAGAAGAAACATCAGTATGTAATGAAGAAAGCAAATTTTCATACTGCTGGACCCAACTAACCCATATCAAATGTCCTTCCCTCAGCTAAACTCCACCTACTGGAATAATAAAGAAATGCAGAGGCGACAACTCTGGGGGTAACTTAGATCTCTGCTTACACTAGCAAAGTTCAATGAAAATTCAATAGGAGTAGTGAATCTATTTGTCAGGGAAACACTGGGTACAACTCTTCGGTCAAATTTCACATGATTTAAGAGGACAGTTTGAGATTCACAGACTTCTAACAGGACTAATCCCTGCTCCCTCAGCCACAATAGTGGAGAAGCTGTCAAATCCTGGTTAGCTGCTGAGAATAATGGAAGTGAGCCAGTTTTTGGCTTAAGAAAATTAACAAAAACGCATGTTTACTGCTTCAGTTTCAAACTCTGAGCTTAGTAGGTTGGGCTTGGACAAAAGCAAGGTGAAACTTCCAATTTCATCACTTGAAGAACTAGATTATCTATTGACTGCATATATTCCTTATTTTAATTAAACTCAATATGGAGTATTTAAAATTTAAACAACTGTTAAAAGTAGAGGCAAATTAATTTTACATATAACTCAGTGCCTTAAGTTGAACGACCTTTTTCTTAAAGTGGTAGGTTTAAGTTTTCAGTTTAATCTATCAAGGGATTCCTCCATCCCATGGGAATACATCATTTGTTTTATACCAAAAGTAGATTCTCTTTATAGGACATTTATTTTATTCTGTCTTCACTAGACTGGGTTTATAAAGGGAAGGATACCTATGCAGGATTAGTTCAAGATCAGAGCCTTTTCCTCCGCATGTGCATGCACACACACAGTAAATACATTTTCCCACACATACAGTCTCACAGTCACATGCTTGCTGGAGTCCATCTCACAAAAACACTTCAGTAGTTAGCCATATACATGTACATGCAGCAAGATGTGAGAGTTCCCCAGAGTGATTAAAGATGGTGCACATATGTCTGTCTATGTGGGGAGGTCATTTTAGGGTATAGGTGTACACAAACTAACAGGGCCATTAACTTGTAGATTATATTTTCCCTTCACCCTCCCCCCAAGATAAATAAAGCAAATGAAAAACACACAGTGACATCTTCCTGGGTGTCATGGAGGCAACTGCCTGGAAGGTCCACTTTTTGCACTTCCACTTTTCTATGACAACTTCATTTTGCCCTGAGGGGCCTTCTCATATAAGGAGGGCTGTTCCTCTGCTTTCCCCGCATTTCCTATGTTTCCTTGGGGAGAGAACTTCTTCTCAGAAGACCGGTCTTCAGGCTTTCGGGCAATCAGCAGGCGGCAGGTGAGTAGGATTCCAAACACCAGGGCATGGGCATAGCGTTTGAGAGGATCACCGACTAGCTGATGGAAGAAGAGCACAACCAACACCAGCAAAAGCAGGAAGAAGTTGGCCACATCTTTGGGACGTCCAGGCACAAGGGTCATGACAATGCCACAGGCCACCTCAAGAGCACCAATGCTTTTACGGAGGAGAATGGAATTGATTCCCATTTTCTTCAGCAGAGGAAGTGCTCGGACATAGGTCTTGTAAGCACGTTTCTAAAGTGGAATACCATAAGGAAATCACCGCATTACCTATGAAGTTAACACAAGAAAGGTCCTCCTTCCCCACCATTCCCTTTCCACACCAGCCAAGGGTATCCCATTTTTTTTACTGTTCCCCAAGACAAAAGCATTGTAATTAAGATAAGAAGAAAAGCAAGCAATCTGCTGAGATCCCTGTAATTTAAATGATTTAAACTGTAGTAACAGTATGGAAAGTAAGAGAATTTGGCTTTATAGTTTAATTTTTTTCCTAATTATAAATCATAAGCATTAATAATTTAAAAGAAAATTCATCAGGTCCATAAAAACTGGTACAGATTAGTCATATCCACAAGTGCCTGCCTTGTCCAAATCCAGATGCATATGAAAATCAACAAAAATGAAACAAGGCAAGGCACAGAATGGTAAAGCCTCACTAATTTGGACTTCCCTAATTTGAAATCTATGATAATTCAGAAACTTCAGCTGAGCTGGAGTTTATATTTGTGACATTGGTAAAAAATAAAAATGTGTCTGTGCTAAAGCAAGTAGAAAATTTAAATGTCTGTAAATGTCAGTCCCTGTGTATCTTTAAAATATAGTAAGACAAAAATTATTCTCATGGTCATTGAGATAAATCCCCAGGCCTTTACAAGACACTCCTTTGATTAGCTTGGTCCAACTTCATTAATTTTAATTCAACAAATACTTATTGAACACCTACTATGGATTATTCGATGGAGATATACAGATGAATAAGACAGGGTCAAGAAGCTCTTGGTCTAGTGGGGGGAAAGAGATACATAAAGAGCATTATAAAGCAGCATGGTTAGTGGTATATAACAGAGGTCTGCACAATGTCTAATTGTAGCCCAAAAGGAGACATCATAGGACAGAGGAGGGAGTCACTGGATATATTACAAAGTAATATAATTATACTGACCTTAGCCTAATAGATAATCATATTTTTTACTATTCATAGTGGCCTGATCCTCAGAGTAAATTGATAAGATTTTATTGTGTCTCATTGGGTTTGCCCACTGCTTTGTTTTCATTAAGTATCCATTAGTTCATTCAATATTTATTGTCTCCTTATGCTAGGCACAGGACTAGGTACTCTGGATAGAGATATTAATTATTCAAAGGCCCTCCATTCCTGAAGCTTGAGTTTATAAGACAAAGAATAGTTATGCAAATACATAAGTGCAATAAAGTATTATGGGTGAGTCTGGCTGATGTGGCTCAATGGTTGAGCATTGACCCATGAACCCAGAGGTTATTGGTTTGATTCCCACTCGGGGCACATGCCCAGGTTGCGGGCTCGATCCCCAGTAGGAGGAATGCAGGAGGCAGATGATCTCATCAATGTTTCTATCTCTCTGTCTTCCTCTCCCTTCCTCTCTCTCTAAAAAAGCAATGAAAATATTTTTTTAAAGTATTATGGGTGCTGAATAAAATTATGTAAATGGGTACAGTGGAGGTACACCTGAGGGAATGGTCGTCTTCCTA